AGTTCTCCTTTCTCGATGATTGGCAAAATAAGACCAATCACTTCAGAAGGCGCACGGTCTAAATCCTCGATTAGAATCCATCGGCCTTCCCTAGCTGCTTTAGTCAAGACACCGGGTTGCCATGCAAATGAGCCAGTAGCAGGGGACGTTGAGTACATCCCAAGAAGACTCTTAGCATCCGTCTGCTCATTTAAATGTAAGGTAACCATGGATTCACACTGGCCCATGACTGCGGCAACGTCATTGACCAAAGACGTCTTGCCGGAATTCGGCAAACCAACTAATAGTAGAGGGTTCGAGGCAGCCAACGCTGTCGCGATCCTACGAAGATTTCTCACAGCGGTGGGCGCTTTCACAATTGAAGATGCCGGCGTTGACATCTCATTTAGTCGGGGGATAAGAACACCGCAGACTTCAGCGGTTCGGGGGGTGAAATATTCCCGGAGCTTCTCGACTTGTGATAGACTGTCTTCAATCGACCGACCTGACCGTGCAATCAGTGCCTGTTTCTCCAGAGTACCCCACCGACGCTCTTCCCACAAGCCAAGGCAGCGATAGTCGATCACAATACCCTCCCATTCGCCTTCAATAACGTTGGCTCCAATATACTTCTGAATCATTTTCTCGGTGGCAGCATCCGCTGCGTGCATATACAAGGCAAAGCATCGAATCGCAAGATACCGTATAGAGGGGTCTGAATGTTGGAAAAGGGATTGGAGGCGTGACGGCGATATGGTACTCGAAAATGTCTCTAAGTCGAATGAGAGAAGTCTGAAGACCGACAATAATAGAGTGCGGATGGTAGTATCGTCTAATTGCAGAAGCGTCGCCTCGTCAGATGCAGCCAAAGCGGATAGAGGTCCAGCCCGAGAACTAGCATATTGGTTTGCGAAAGAAGCAAGAAATGGCGCAAATGGTAGGATTCGTGAAAAAGCGGAGATAATCTCGACTTGATTATTATGAAAGTCTGAAGCAAGCCATCTTGCTGCCAGATCCACAAAGATCGGCTCATATAGGCAGAAAAAGCCTTCTGTACATTTTGATCGCAATGCACCAACCGCGAGCGCATTCAGGTACTGTGTCCCAGAGGATGTGCGAATGAGTTCCGCTACCTCATTCGGAAGGTGCTCAAAGAGCTGGGACTCTTCAAGAGTCCTCTCATAGGCAGGTCTGGTCTCCATGCTCAACCCTACCTCCAGAGGAACTCTTATATTGAGTTAGAGAGAGAAAGAAATTATCGATGCCGATAACAGTAACTTTTTTTTCCAAGCCGTTTTCTGCCGCTATATGTGGCGCAGCCCCACACTTATTATGCTCACCGCCTTCATTTAAGGAGCGGAGCGGAGCTTAAGCCACACCTCCGAGATTAGGACCAGTTGTCGTAAGTCGAGACCGGGATAGAACTGCGGGATCGTCAACAAAGGACATGGCTTTCTGCAAAGTGGACATTGACACTTGTACGTAGCTTTCTGTGCTTACTATGCAGTCGGGAGGAGAAGCTGGGGACTCCTCGCTCTTCACGGAGTCGCGGAGTCAGCAACATTCTCCGATACAGCGCCGTGACAGCGACCTATCGTCACCGGATCCCCCCGAATTGAGTGATTCACTCAGCGGTGGCTTACATGAGCCGTAAGGTTCCAATCTATTTGGGCAATCCATGCGATTCTAATAGGGGACGTGTACAGTATATCCTTTAAGCGCAAACAAAAGCAGCGATCCGGTTTCAGCTTATCGAACCTATTTTCCAATAAAACTACGGAATCCGTTGCTGGAGACGCTGGGTTTATATCTTCGAACACCCGGAATGGGCAGCTCCATGAAAATGTATCATCTTCAAGGGATCGACCGATGAGTAACAATGGAAATGCCACTGCGCAAAAAGAGGGCGGTCTCCTTGATTGGTATGTGGAAGGTCCAGGGCGACGAGTAGGCTATGATGACCTCACCGCGATTGACTGGATATTTGAGTACACAAAAGAACGCCAGAGGAAGAGGCATCTATATTCCCATGGCCAAGGGGCTATAGGATATGTACTCAAATTCGTCGACGCCAGTAATGTCTGGATAGTATTGATCGCTACTGGAATTTTGGTCGGGATCATTGCAGCTTTTATTGATGTTGCAAGCGACTGGTTAGGAGATTTGAAAACTGGGTATTGCAAGAATGGGCCTGGGGGGGGCAAGTTCTACCTAAATAAGAGCTTCTGTTGCTGGGGTCATGATGGTAAGCTATTCTTCGCTCCCAGGTTGTACCGTGAGGTATCTATACTAAATTATGGGTTAGATATCTCTAACTGTCTAGACTGGACACCCTGGGGGAAAGCACTAGGTCTTACCTCTTCTGGCGGCGTCTTCACGGTTGAATACTTATTCTACGTCCTTTATTCTGTAAATGGGTCTTTTCGGTTATAGTTGTAGTATACTAACAATTCTCATAGGTACTATTTGCTATATGTGCTACAGTCTTGGTTAGGACCTATGCGCTTTATGCGAGACACAGCGGTATCCCTGAGATCAAAACGATCCTCGGTGGTTTCGTGATAAGGCATTTTATGGGACCTTGGACGCTTGCGATAAAGTCTTTGGGACTAGTAGGCTTCCCTCAAGATACACACTATGCATATCTAAGCTAACAATTGCAAAGTGTTTATCCGTCGCATCTGGTTTGTGGCTGGGTAAAGAAGGCCCTCTTGTTCATGTCGCATGCTGTTGTGCCAGCGTGATAATGAAACCATTCGAAAGCTTAAATCATAACGAAGGTAAACGCTCTTTATAGCCGTGCCGATCACATAAGCTAATTATGCAGCGAGGAAACGCGAGGTTCTATCCGCAGCCGCGGCTGCAGGCATCTCTGTTGCGTTCGGGGCCCCAATCGGGGGCGTCCTGTTTAGTTTGGAGGTATGACCTTTTAGAAATCCCTTCGCTCATAGACGAACCGTTCTAACATTGGTTAGCAATTATCTTATTACTTTCCCGACAAGACAATGTGGCAAAGCTTTGTCTGTGCCATGGTTGCTGCAGTGACGTTACAAGCCTTAAACCCTTTTCGTACGGGCAATATTGTCCTTTACGAAGTCACGTATACACGCGGATGGCATCGCTTTGAAATGATTCCGTTTGTTATACTTGGCATATTAGGCGGCCTATATGGAGCGTTTCTTATCCGCTTGAATATGAAAATTGCCCAATGGCGACGATCTCGGAGCTGGTCACGACCAATTGCAGAGGTGGTGTTCGTAGCTCTTTTAAGTGCGTTGATCAATTATCCGAACTTGTTTATGAGATCTCAAAACTCTGAGCTTGTTCATTCTCTCTTTGCCGAATGTGGAAATGGGGGTGATGATCCTTTTGGTCTATGCAAGACAGGCGCTGCGTCCGTTACTACAATAGCTCTTTTGCTTATGGCTGCGATCCTTGGCTTTTTCCTCGCATCCATGACTTTTGGTTTGGATCTACCCGCCGGTATTATCCTACCTTCCGTTGCCATTGGTGCTTTATATGGGCGCGCTCTAGGCACGACTTTCAAGATGTGGCAAGAAGCTTATCCCAACATTTTCCTCTTCAGCAATTGCGAGCCGGATATTCCCTGCGTCACTCCAGGACTATATGCAATCGTTGGTGCGGCTTCGGCTCTTGGCGGAGCCACTAGGATGACTGTGTCGATAGTGGTCATCATGTTTGAACTCACTGGTGCTTTAACCTACGTTATCCCAATCATGATTGCAGTCATGCTATCGAAATGGTGCGGCGACATATTTGGCAAACGTGGCATTTACGAGTCGTGGATTGAGTTAAATGAGTATCCTTTCCTCGACCAACGCGACGATACTACCCCACCCGATGTGCCTGCTCATAAGGTCATGACGACTGTGGATGACTTAACGGTCATTGCCGCCGTGGGTCATACAATTGACAGTCTTCGGCACCTTCTCCTGACCACTTCATACCGTGGATATCCCGTAGTAGCCGATGCGTCAAACCCTATCCTTCTAGGTTATATCTCTCGGAACGAACTTTCGTTTGCTTTGAAGTATTCGAAGTCGCCTACGGACCGAGAGTTGTCTGGCGAAACCCAGGTCTTTTTTGCTCATCAACCTTTTGCAGATCCAGGAGAGACTCTCGATCTTCGTCCATGGATGGACCAGACCCCGATCACCCTAAATAGCAGTACGACATTTTCGCTAGCGCTTCAGATGTTCCAAAGGCTTGGACTGCGTTACATCTTACTTTCGGACAAAGGAGTGCTCCAAGGGCTGCTCACTAAAAAGGATGTTTGGTCTGTCATCAACAGCCCAGAGTTCCGTAAAGGCGGATTCTCTAGAGAGAATGTAGTCCGCCCAGTGAATACGGCAGAAGAGGTTGGACTCCTGGAGAGCGATGACGTGACCAGTCTGGCCAGTTCTTTAGAAAGGCGCCAGTCGCTCTGATTTCTTGTACAGGAACTAGTACTATACCGGAGCATCCTTGAGTCCAGTAAAGCATGCCTACGATTGGCACATCCGGCGGTGCCTATGTTTAGACCCATGACGCGAATCATGTTGACTTGGTTTTGATATCAAATAGAACTTGGTAAGGGATAGGGCTGGTTTCCTTGGTAGATACTCAATGGCGTTATATTGGTTTTGATCTTTCCTAGTTTTCAGTCGCCTGACTGGCAGTCAGCGGGCCTTCCTATTATATATATATAGCCTCCATATATTATGTGAATACTATACATCCACCATCTGCTTCCCTGATGAGATAAGACCTTGTTTTCCCACCCCTACATCTAACCCCAGCTAATTAGATGAACCAGTAACTTCCCTACCATGTGAGCAAAGCTGTCCTTAATAGCATTCCCACTAGCAAATAACCATGCAGTACTATAGTAGCTGACCAACCCCACATATTCTGCCAGCACAATCCATCTGACCGCCCCTTCACCGACCAATCGGCGCACCCCACCCATGATAATTCCCCGACCTGTTTGCGAGAACCTGAACAAGTACAAAACCCTCATTCCAAATCAAGTGTTATAACTCTCTAGCCCCTTGGCTGAGCTGTGAATCCGCAACTATGATGGCAGATCCGTTTGAAGTTCGCATGCGCTTTACCGCGCAGCTACAACACTTGAATGCGTCAATTACATCCTCCCAGAAAGCTGCGCATTATGCGCTCAAATACCGCGATATGGACGAGGACCTTCACTCATGTATACTGGAACAGCTTGAAAGGGTACGTGGGTTGATTCTGCCATCTATCAGGCTTCATTTACTAACTTTCATGGTGTCTCTAGAATAATATGAACAACCGAGCTAATATCATGTATTTCATCGAGCAATTCTGCGAAATGGCCACGAAGGAAGATCATGCACCATATGTGCGCATGATTCAGAGGGATATCTTACGCGTAGTGGATGCCGTTGCACCGCCGGATGGCTCGGGGGCCGCGAATGTGAAGCATGTTCGTCGGGTTCTCAACGGGTTACAAAACAAGGAAATCCTCTCCGCGGAAACGGTAGCGGAGATCAATGCCGGTCTAAAAGACCGTGAAACACATCCAGCACATCTTGACCTAGAGGCCGATGGGGGGGCGGAAGCTAAGGGCGGCACTCCACGAGGCTCTAGGGGGAGTGTCCGCGTGGACAAGAGACAGATTGAGCAGAGAATCGAAGAAGACCGTGAGCGGAACAAGCGTTTACGAGAGAGTATGTGGACAGTCAGCGGCGACGATGGTGACGAGCACGGGAAATTCTGGGATGAGACCAGCGACATTGGCGAAGACGATTTCCTGGCCGCGAATGAGGAGTTTACGGAGCGCAGAACGATGGTTGGTGCTAAGTGAAAGTGCTTGCATTAGCTGTTCTTTCCTGGTTTTATAGAACCTGGCAGTTTTGAAAAGTACATATAGCAGGTGTTCGGTTCGGCGTTACGTTCCTTTACTACTTGGGTCATGGGTATGGATGATACCATTTACGTGAATTGCATATGAGATACCATATTCTGTTTGACGTTTCTCCAAGCTTGAAGCTGGCAACTACTCACTACCACTCAAATAATATCAAATAGAACAAATGAATGGTACTTTAGTAGCCCCACATGGCATCTTTCCGCCTTCGGATAAAAGTGGCCCCGCGGAGATCATGAAAATGAATTTCCTGAAAAAAAGCGCCGAGTTTGGGCGCAATAACATTTCTCCATATATGCTTGGTAGCTAATTTTTTGAATCGGATCATTCTAGATCCTCTATGTTTTCCCACATTGTCACTGCGGCAAAGGGTCTATTTACTCGACAGGATACCGACAAAGCACAATCAACAAACTCTAGCACTGCCTCATCCGATAACACAAAGATGGTCACTACACGGCGGCGGAAGATTTCCGATATTGTTCCAGAAGAGGAACCTGAGATCAATGGACAACAGGAGGTGAATGGAAAGCGCAAATCCGGATCAGCCAGCTCTGGGAAGACGGAAACTCAGCGCAATAAACGGAGAAAACGAGCCAGCCGTGAAGCCGCAGAAAGCGAGAGCGGGACTCCCGAAGAGCCTTCAGAAGATACCCAGGAAACAGATTCCAAACAGGAGAATGAGAAATCGGCGCCTGCTCCGAAGAAGCACTTCAGATTCGACAGTGAAGAACCCGAAGTACCGTTGGATATGCAGATAGAGGAAACAGCAGAAACGCAACAGGCGAAAGAGGACAGCGGTGATGACAGCAGTGATGATGATGAAGCTCCGGAAGCAGTTGATAACTCGGCGCAGCTATCTAAGGTCAGGGCGCAGGCTAAGAAAATGGAAAAGGCCAAACAATTGTCAGTAATAGACCTTATTTCCTCCCCCCCCGGCGATATGGCTCGTCTTACCAACTGTCCTACAGAGAAGAAGAGTTAAAGCGCGAGAAGAGAAGGCAGTTGGATGAGCTGCGTAAATCACAAGCGAAAGTTTCGAAAAAGAAAGACAAGCCCGTTGATGATCTGCTATCCGAAAGCACGGAGACACTCCAGGGCTCTAATACACAAGATGCACGGCGATCGGCTCTCCCGGCACTTCTTCCAGATGATATTTTGAATGCGGCTCCTGTTACACGACCACCTACTCCACCCGCAGAAGGAATAAACATCGCCCACAAGAAGCCGACCAAGTTGAAGTTCCTCGAAAAGTCCGAGAAGCGCCCCAAGGATGTGAAGATGGGTGACGTGACGATTCGAGTATTGGGTGACATTCCACAGAAGAAAGCCAAATCGGCTCTGGCCCCGAAGGCCTCGAAGTCCGGTCGGAATAGCAGACAGACTTGGCTTGATCGGAGTCGCAGTACTGGGCATGTCAATGGTCTGAGAAGGACACCCGGCGGTACCTCTGGATTTGTACGCAAGTAGAAGGTCTTATCTATACCATCAAGCGGCTCAGCGGTGGCTAGCAGTTGTTCCAACCAAGATCAAGAGCGAATTGAACCGGATGTCCCTACAACCACTCTTGAGAACCACCCCACTAATGCCAACTAATGCCTCTCGCTTCTCTCTGTATATCACCATACGCCAATGTTGAATGATTGGTTTCGCATCTTCTGCGATACGCAGGGTCCAGGCAGGCCTTGTCCCCGGAAGCAGGTCACAGGTTCGAGGATGCGCAGCAAGCAGAGTACGATCCACGCAGTTGAACTTTGCTTCGAAAGATTTCGAAATTCCTGTATGGACATGTAATGTTCAACGGTAGATAGTTATTAAGTGCCGTTGTCTAGGCTCTGAGTATTGGGTGCAAGGCGCTCTCAAAAAGTGGCTTCTACTATTTATTCTTGTTTTTCTGGTATTATTTTCCTTTTAAATATTCTTTTACGCAGTCCAGCTTGCTTAGGTCTCAACTTGAAAGGGAATGTAACACAGAAAAAAGAAAGGAAAGGAAAGGAAAAGGCAAGAAAAACAAAGGAGATTTATACAAAGGTACCAGGGTCTAAAATATAAGTAGGATGATTGTTCCATAGCCTAGACCGTTGGCAGAAGTCGAAGTGGATGCAGCTTTTTCTATAGCAGGTTAGCCTCTGGTGGGCGCACGTGCGAAAGCTTGCAGCTTGGTCAATCCATTCTTCACCTCCATTTCGACGGAAAGATCTTCCGGAGTGATTCTTTGCTCATTATTAAACGTTTCACCTGCCCATCAATGGCAGGCTTCTAATGATCATCTTCACCTACTATGTCCAACATGGCTTCCACCGCAGAAACAACCCCCCTGCTCCCCCAGCACCAACAACAACCCGCAACATCCAATACGTCACCGCGAGCGAACCGGCGGACAGTCACCTTCAACCCTCTCACCACAGTCAGCACATACCACGATACCACTTCTACAAACGCTCCAGTCAGAACACTATATTCCGGCCCTTCGTCATTCCCCAGTTCTCAGGATACCCCGCAACGACCGACTGGACTTTCCGCATTGAACAGCAAGCTCCGTCGCCGGAATAGCCATGGAGCGCCCTATAGTGCAGCTCCCTCAATGCCTGCAGCACCCAAAGTCGGCCCGCAAAGAACAACAAAGAAAGCCCAGAAATTGAAACTTCTCCCTGATCCGATAACCGAGGAGGCTGTTGAAGGCGAATTCCCGTCGGACGTCTACTCGCAAATCGCACGGATTAAAGAGCCCACTGCTCGAAGCCATGCTGCAAGACTGGGCAAGGCAGACAGAGAACGACTACCCCGCGTGACAGCATATTGTACAGCCAATTCATATCGACTAGACGGAGCGACCAGGTTTCTCAAGTCGAGGTCCAAGACCCGTGGAGCCAATCCGAAACTCTACGATGAGTGTGTCTACTCGCCTTTCGACTACCTGTACGAAGAAAAGCAAAGAAGTACATCAGAAAATCATGTTGGCACAAATAACGTGGGCATGGGGGAAACCTTCCAGAGACCAACCACTGAGCGCAGGTTCTCCGACAGCGTGGTTGAAATCGAAGATAATACTAAATCCCGGAGAGAGGACCTCATCGACCTTCGAGACTCAGAGGCCCACCAATCTGAAAATGCCGTGGCGGAAACTCAATCTGAAACCCCAGACTTCGACACTACAATCCACACCCCGGAGGTATTCCTCTTTGACTATGGTACGGTCGTCATATGGGGCATGTCGCCCGCACAAGAGTCCCGGTTCCTGTCTGATATCTCTAAATTCGCAACCTCCATCTTAAGTCCCGAAGATACGCAGGTCGAAAACTTCAATTTCTACTATGCGCGCGAATACCAAGCACGGATATACAACGACTTCATCTCTCTGCGCGATCCACGAAACCACATGATCAAACTGGCCATCTCGCATGCTCTCGCTCAATCCGTGAAGACCTCTCTTTTCGAGGATCTTGTCTCAGAAACGATCTCGAATACTGCACCATTACCTGCCCAAATCGCACAGACAGGAAGTGTCAATCTCACGCGGCGACAGATAAACATGCAAGTCGGAGAATTGTTCATTCTACGAATCAATATCCATCTTCAGGGCTCGGTCCTGGACAGTCCAGAACTAATGTGGGCAGAACCACAGTTGGAACCGGTCTACCAGGCCGTGCGGAGCTACCTCGAGATGGACCAACGAGTCAGCCTCCTAAACGAACGACTGGACGTAATTGCAGATCTCCTGGCCGTTCTCAAAGACCAGTTAACTCACCGACACGGTGAGTATCTAGAATGGATCGGTAAGTCATCACTTTCAACTACGCTAATACACTCAGACATTAGTTGCTAATATAAATGCACAGTCATTGTCCTCATCGCTGCAGAGATCCTTGTCGCAGCCATCAACATCGTGGTCGACCTATATGCTGGCGTTGACTAAATTCTGGTCATCGGACGATCATATGCTTCATCTTGCTCACAGACCGATCTATCTACCTTTCCTTTTATTAATTATTCACCCCATTGCATTGTACTGGTACTGGCGTCAGGGCGAACGGGCAAGATCGCATTGCTATGATAGCTACGCATAACCACCCCATGTACAATACAATATGACATGAGCTAGACAGGCGGGTGCAAAGACCGAATAAGAAGAACTTTTCAGCACCATATACACCAACACACGCTATTTATTTATCAAAAAGATGCAACTTCGTAACCGTAGCTGTCATCTACCACGTAATCGATACCATCGTTCCCCATCCCACGAACAGAATGTATATTTCGCACCTTAGCCATCACCAAAGACAAAAAGCGGGATATGAAAAAAAGCAAACTCCCTAGTCTGAATTTTAGTAAAGATGAACAAACAAGAACCCCGAGAACCCCCTTTAGATATAGAGAAAAAAGAAGAAAATGGTCACAAAAACAAAGAATATAAGATAAAGATACAAAACCACCAACCCATCATCCACTAAGCGCAAAGAAAAAACCCCCAAACTAACTGTCCTCCTTCGACTCCTTAGTATCCATGTCCATAGGCGTTGTCGGCTCCACAGAGACCTCTCCTTGGCCAGGTTCTCTTGACCCGGACTCCGGGTTCTGGCTACCACCACGGTCACTTCCGGAGCCGGTATTGTTCTCTTTATCTTGTGCCGAGTCGTTGCCCGCCTGGATGCGGAATGAAGAAGTCATGTCCTCCTGCGATGGTGCAGGCGCTAACCGCGGAAGCGAGGCTGATCCAGCAGCGGACGAAGACTCGGGCGCATTGTTAGCAGAGGGGGTGGCATCATCATCTACACCGTCGCCGACATTTGATTTCCGGGATCGTTTCACACGGAGAGGCCGTTCTTGGGGCTGTGATAACATTAGTTAATTCCCATTCGTTAGGGGGTTTTGGGGAAGAAAGAAAGAAGAAAAAGAAAACAAAAAAAACTAACAGTAGGCGGCTGTTCATCCGAGCTCCCCTCCGTGTCATCCGCATAATACACACCACTACCACCCTCCTTGTCACCAGGATCCAGAACCGCCGCATTAGACATCATAGCCGCGGCGCGGGCCCGTAGCTCCGGGCTGACGCCTGCCTGGGCCTCCTCTGCCATGCCGGTGACCTTGGCTAGGCGCTCGAGCAGGATGCATGACTCAAGACGCATCTTTTGGATGTATTGCCACCCGCGGTGGTTACGGACGCGCATCAGATCGTTCTCTCTTTCGATCTCAGTTAAGCGCTTCTTTAAGGCGACGCATTTGCGTTTGTAGGCATGTTCGACACTCGGGGGGTTCGAGGATTCGATTGATGTTGACTGATTTGTAGATGGCTCCATTGTGTTTAATGCTGTATGGCAGATTTCGTTGTGGTTTGGATTGAATTGTTGTTGTCGAGGGTCCAGGGTAAAAGTCGAGACTTGAGATAAAAGGTGATTTGATTCGTAGATGAGGGGTTTGGATGGGTGAATTGAGGTCTCGCTGCGTATTGATGGGGGTTGCGCGGAGTAACACTTGGTCTCAGACTCCCAGTCAACAGGGTGTTCAGGGACAAAGGACCGGCGAGTGAGATGTGCTGTGTATGTCTTGAGGATGCGAAAGTAGTCGGGGATCCCTTTCCACGGGACCGGTAAGTTTCTTCGGCGAGGTACGAGACAACAGGGACCTTTGAGTTTACTAAAGCCACAAACACTGTCCGAGTTAAAGCTAGTCTCGCAATGAGTGGCGCCGAGTTCAAATGACAGAATTCTGCCGCATTCGCTGGATGTCTGATTGCTGGACTGGCGATGGTTTGGAATCGTGGCTGCCATTCTGCCGGATTGTGATCGGAGGCGGTCAGCGGTGCCCTAGACAATCACGACAATTACTATGGCATATACGAGGAACTACCGAATTCGTGCATCATGAACATTAATCATTCTAGACTATCTACTGAGCTCATAGTACTGGTATCTAGATCGGCCGGTAGGTAAGATTTAATGCCCACCCGTCGTCGGAAGACCAAGGAATACCTTGAACGAGTCATAACTATATAAAATCCGTCAATTCACTGTCGTTTCCTACCAGAGAAGATGATGGACCACTTACATCAACCATTGAAATCCAGTCAGTGTACCCAACATGACGATACGGACGGGAAGACCGTTCCATAGGCCCGAAAATCCGATATTTCCATAAATGCGCGACACGGCCTTCATGGCTGACTCACCAGCTAAGATACCATCAGCACCAAATCACAATGACAACTCCATCAAGACTCATCAGACTCAACTCACCCTGACGATCAGCATTAAGCTTGCTAACCATAACATCAGCCGGATGGCTAACAATCGCACAGAAAATGCCAGCAATGTAACCGCCCAGGAAACTAATTCCAGTCTGCTGCAGTCCACTGCAGCTCTCTTTCGGTTTGCCCAAAGTCTTATAGATCGCATTGACCGTCTCCTCAAAGGTAGCGAACTTGGTCATAGTGTAAGGAATTTGTCGCGCCCAGAGCGGATACAGCCCCTTATACAAACCGCCGAATCCTTCTTGGGCAACGATCTTGCTCCAACCTTCGCGCATCGTCTGCGCATAGGGCGGCAGAGTCGTCTGCATGCGCACCTTGATAGCTTCGAAGGGGCAGAGGGCCATGTCTGCAAGGAATTCGGCAGAGGCACTGGCGCCTAGGTATACCACCGTACGGTTCATGCCGGGGAACATTTGGTCGCCGTATAGATACTTGAAGTACTCGTAAAATCCATATTTACCTGCGCCCTGGAAGGAATACCCGATGAATGTGGGAGACCAGCCAAAGAATACTCCGCGGAGTCCTTCCTTGGCGAAGATAGAGCGCCATGCTGAGATATTAGATGTGTAGATCTTGGGATCAACCTGACGGCGACACTTGACCAGATCGAGTGGTGTTACCGATGTATGGGTAGGTCCTAGAGACAATTCCAACGTTAGATGTAGCCCATGGAGAGCAACATGCTTTCGTATTGAGAACTTACCACATGCTGTATATCACGACCAAAGGAAAAAGAAGAGATACGTTAGTATTGATTTTCTCAAGGATATTGCCAATCATTCCGAAGAAGCCTACCAATAATGCCTCCTAGAGCACAGTTAACGAAATATTTGCCCGTATTAGGTTCGATCTTCCCCATAGGAAGTTTGCGTTCCTGCATAGCCATATCGGCGGTTGTATGGTGAAATCTGGAAAGGTTACGACAACTGGTGTGACTGAGAAGCGTGATTACTTGGATGCAGCAAAAAGGCAAGGCTCAAGTGCGCCGAATTTTATGTAATGCAGCTGAAAGAAGGATTCTAAACCTCTAAACAGAATTAATTGACTATGGTGAAGGGAGGAATCGTCCCAAGATCCCCAAGAATGTGTGATATGAAGCAGGGTCGGCCGAGGGGTATTCGGTTAGGCTATATAGAACTTAAATCAGGACAATGTCGTCAGCAATCACAGCTTATCTCGGGGCCTGGACCAGTAACTGGTTGCCAAACGACATTGGCTTTGGTAGTTCAAGGGTCCGTGAACGGCTAAGCCGGCATACAGTCCTGAGCTGGACTGGTAGCAGTACACGCTACCACCTCGGATGTGGAGTGCCGATGTGCAAAAGAGGCTTGGTATTTGACCCAGATTTATGCACCAGAAGTACTGTGTTACTCGACTACAAATTAATTCCCTGTTCGTTTATGTCACAAGTGGAGCCAATATTAATGACGTCATTATATCCGTCCACAACCGGAGCTTGGCCAAAACACTGTCTATTATAGATAGAGGCTAAAAACAGGATATATAAATTTAATCCAAATATACAAGAGGAGAGAGAAAAGCCCATCTCTTACGCCAATAGTACAGGAATTCATAAGCATTATACAGGGCAGTCGTAAACCATATTGACAATGCCCATCCAACAGGCTTCATGTACAAGGGGGTTTAGATCGTCGATGGTATGAAACGGTAAGGGTTTGGGGTCAATGCAGTTGCATGGTGGGACATGCTTCCCTGTTGCGCCAGGATAAGCGCCAGCTTGATGCCCAGCACGGAACCGACCCTACCCAATGCGCTTCGGATTTGCTCTATCTGTGCCGCTGTGCCCATGCCGAACGTCAGAACATACCATAGCGGCCACAGCATCATGTATCCGTAAAGAGCGCGAACGGGCGGTCGTCCCTCAGCAGAGGCTGGGATCGATTGACCAAGTGCATCGATATCCCCCAATGAAAAGGGAATACTCCGACAGGTATCGGTGGTCATCTCCTGAATCTCCTCCAGCGCCGCATCGCGGTCGACGTCGCAGGCCTGGTTGTCACCGACGAGAGAGGCAAGGGTCTGGCGTAGATCAAGTAAATGTCTTTGGAGGCTAATCCGGGCCGCGCGGTAGTATGTCCAAATTGCTGCAATAGATGCACTCTGATAAGTCATGAGCGGTCCACCCGTAGCCGTATAGACAACGAGAGGAAGCCAGTGGTCCGGTAAATGCTGACTCCAGTTGGCCATCTCCAGAGCTAAAAGGCTGCCAGTTTCTATCCATGTGTTGAGTTGTGTAATGGTATCTATGTCTAATGGCCCCTTATGGGAAGAACTTTCGGCGAATAGCTGGCCAATCTTGGATGCCGTTAGCATTAACATAGCCACCGGCTCGGATCCGTCAAGTTGTCCGACAATCAATTCTGTGCTAGCATTTCGCGGCCGAGTCCGTAGGACAATGCTCTCAATAAGCTACGCAGCTCGTCAGTTTTCTCCGCATATAATCAGGTACATTGGAACTAACAGTATGTGCATAAGCACAGATGAACAAATCGCGACCTTGTGCATGGCTGAATTGGCTTTCACCTCGCATGCCCATCAGAAGCCCGAATCCTTTTGTATGTGAGCTGTGAAGCCCCTTTCGTTCTCCAGCGATGTCTTCAAAGATAGAGAGAATGACCATCGTGGCAAAAGTTTCGTCTCTGACTGCCTGAGACCGTGTGCTCAGTAAGCGCCGAAGCCCATGGAGCGCCAATCCATAGTATCCTCTTGCCTTGAGAAGAAGTGGAGGCGCCTTCATATGGTTGCTTAGTGTTATGAGAGCAGTTGCTTCGGTTGCCAGCCTCAAGCAGGATGATACTGAATCGTCTTGCCTACTGTCCCTACATGTAGCATACAGGGAAGGCAAGAAGCCCAGATGGTTCAAATACTCATCACTAATACACGTGAACTGATCAAAGAAGTGGCAGACTGCTCGTTCCTCCCACGTGGAGTCAGCGATTTGGGGAAGTATTAGTGACAGTTCTGGACTGCTAGGACTAACGGAGGTACTCCGACTGCTGCGCTGGCTATCAGTGGGTGTGGTACTCCTTTTCCTCATGAGCCGTTCCACTTTTTGGGTCTCATTACGGAAAATTGTATCTGGTCGATATCCTGGACATGGGCGCCCGTATACAGAGCAGTTTCGACATCCCGGCAGCGCTTCATCACACTTTTTAAGTTGCGCTTAGCTTTGTGGTCCGAATCAAGATGAATGAACCCTTGGATTCCATAGAGTCCAGCCGGGTAAAGAAGGTGAAAATGAGGCTAAGCTAACAAGGTTCTTGTTACAGTCCTACCTTGATCTTCCGTTTGCGGCATAAGTAGCATCCCGTGCTCGGCTTTCCCCCATATACCATATTGGCATACTGTGGCTCGAGTGAATCCGTTCCAGTGAATGTTTCAGGTATAACAGAAGACAGTAGCAAATAAATCGAAGGAGAGAAGAAGAGATGGGAAAGAGTTGAATCTTGTTCAAAGTTGAAAAGTCTTTGTCAAGAACCTTACACCTGCCGGACCATTGAGCATAATGAGTACAGTTTAACCTAAGATACAAGTATCTGGTCGGTCAGGTGTCTACCTTGGCAAACTCTGTTGCGATGTAACTCGAAAGACGCACACGGACAGATAAAATCCCACTATTGTTAGTGATTGCCTCCATGCCTCTAGCGGGGATGCGGAGAAGCCAATGCCACATGGGGTTTTAGTAAGCAATAAGACAATAAATTACAATACAGTACCGTACCTACATTACCCGACTCTTACGAAGAAGTGTAAGTCCCGATGGGCAATTAAAATGTACAGTACAACATCGAATAGAACAAACGTTCTCACTCATGATAATACAGTCTGTATATGTTATTGGGATTGGACCCCATATATTCTCTTCGATTTTATGTAGTTAGAACGGCCACAGACCCCTTTAGATCTCGAATACATCACCTCCTGAGGCGGATATCATCTAACCTATTATAAATAAAAACAAGTCTTAAGAAAACAATTAATGCTGGTACGCCGGTAGGTATAAGGTATTTGGTCGCACAAAGGCAGACAATTCCCCACCTGGAACTCCATCTGCGTTGTAGTTCGTGGGGACGGACAACGGTACGGTTTTGGAAAGCAAAAGAAAAACCAACACCCATAATGCAAATCCTGGTCCGTGATAGCTGGTCAAAACTGATGACTGTATGCTTCGAATGCGACAAGATCCTAGAGGTCGTCGGAAACAAAGTAGATGCTCTGATTATTACGTCAGTCATAATAAGGCGGGGGAAAGATTATATGATCGTCATATGCGAACGTCAAATCATGGGAGAAGAGCGTGCTAGGAGGAAGGGGCGTCCGGCATTATTTGGTCATCATCGTTGCCCAGAGGTATCGTGGGAGGGTCTGAATGGTATGCTCTCTGCCGACTATCGTCTTCGGCAGGACGCATCCCAGGAGTACTTGATGAGCTCGGTGGCACAATTTCATCTGTATCTTCCTCGGGGGGAGGCGAGAAAGTCCAAACCTGCAAATATATGATCAATCAATTGATCACCGGTCAACATTATGGGACTCTTACCTCCATGACTGTCCGACCCGATCTACTCGCCATGATCACAGCCTTTTCCTCTTCGAAGGCCACCCTCCAAACCGCCTCTGCAGGTGAGGACAATTCCCTGAGTAACTGTCCAGTTTGTAGACTCCACACCTTAACACGACCGTCACTACCACCGCTGACAATCCGCGAGCTGTCAAACTGAAGGCTTGTCACGCTGTTGTCATGTGCCGCTAGCCTATGGATTGGGGTCATTTTGGTCAGAGACCAAACACGGACAGACCCGTCCGAGCCGCCAGTGACGAGTGTGTCACCCCGCATCTGCAGCTGCCCCACTAAAGATGTATGGCCCTGGAGGATAGCATGGCACTGGCCACTTTGCGGGTCCCATATCCGCACACTGGTGTCCAAACTACCGGTAGCGATCCGCCTGCCATCGAAGGCGATTGCATAAATTTGACTAAAATGGCCCGAAAGAGTGCGGAGGCATCGCCCTTCAGAGATACTCCAAATGCGTGCAGTAGTATCATAGCTTCCGGAAACAACTAAATCCCCATGAATCGCTAGGCACCGGACACTAGCCTGGTGTCCAACCAGAACATTTCTACAAGTTCCTGAAGTCAGATCCCATATCCGCAGCGTGGTATCTCTAGACCCCGAGATAGCCGTATTCCTGTCAGACATTTTCAAACAGCGCACAGTTGACGTGTGACCACGCAATAGGTAGATACCGGCTCTGTTTCAGATGAAAAGTCAGTATCTCTGCCCTGGAATACTGGCATGAAAGACTCGGCTTACCCAGTAGCCATGTTCCAGACACGGACCTCACGGTCACAGCCACCGCTCACCAGTATGTCATCCCAGGGGACCATAGCCCATACACCCATCACATGACCTTGCAGGGTCTTCTGATTATCTCCATTGGTGTCATAGATATGGATCTTAGCGTTGTCTAAAGCAACCACAATGTACTTCGGTGTGAGGTGCAGGCTCGTAACGACTCCCTGATCGGGTGTGATATGCCGTTGGGTGCATCGCCCGCCTTTATTCCAGGCGGATTCCACCATATATTTCTGTTTGAAATGGGTCCTGTATGACAAAGGCCGAACTCTCCGCTTTCGTGAAGACAAGCTTGCTGACGCAAGCCAGTCCCCTGACAGGGAGCGTGTCAGACCGGGGTGGCTATCCTGGGACTGATGGCTGGAAGTGAGCGAACTCCTCGATCCAGCCAGGGAGTTTGTGCCAGAGATAGTACGCATATGTTGAGTGTGGAAAGGGTCGACGAAATCCCGGTCATCCTCCGAAGACTTACGAGACGCATACGCATGCTTCTCGCAGAGGTTTTTCCATGTGATGTCATCGTTCAATAGTTCCCGCCAACGCCTCGATACCTGAGATGCTCTTGCTAATGTCTTTGGATCATCGATGAACGAAAGTACCTAAGCGAAGCGACGAAGGAGAGCACGCCAAAAGTCAGCGGAGTTCGCAAGTTGGCATACGCCAGTAGCCGCACGGCCGGAAGTCCATATTACATACTCGCAAGCATAATTCAGTGGGAAAGACCAGAAACGGGTCCTTCCTCAAACGAGGGCTGACGTAACTAGAGACAAAGCTCAGACGTTGGCTATCACATAGACTAAGGATACCTTCCAAGAACTTCTGCCTTTTGGAGCTGGACAGGGAACTGAAATGAATCCTGGCATTTAGAAGGAAAGCGTCATCGTCTTCATCGGCCGACTGCCATGTCGGAGGCCTCTGATGAGGGGTGGGACTAGGAGCCGGGGTAGGCGGCGATGCGGGTGCTGAAGGTAGGAGATTTGGAGGGATCGATGTAATAGTTTTGTTTGAAGATAACGACCTCGAATGAGCACTCGAAAGCGAAGCGACCGAATCCGTGGCCGAACACGTTCGGGTATGGGCTGGCGCCAGCTGTTCAGGGACACTCCGCGGACTCATCCCGTTGGCGACCCGAGTGGAAGAAGAACGTCCGAGGGGTGAGAAAGTGGCGCGCTGTAAGGCGGTTATATCATCCACCACACACTACCCAACCTTCACGAATATCGATCTCTCCTCACACAAATGCCTCGGGATTCTAGGTCGTTCATAGATCGAGAAAGGAAGAACGAGTGTCTTAGGAGATATAGAGAATGTACGGGAACGAGGAAGGGGAATATAAAGAAAGAAAAATAATAATATAGGAAGAAATACGATGTTACGCTGGTTAGGTGAAGGAGTAGGAAAATAGCGATATAATAAGCGGACGATCTCCGACGGTCGGATTGGGAAACTGACTGGCGATAGCCCGGAAATAGGGGGAAGAGGAATAGAACAAGGGAAGAGAAGACGTTAAAAAGAGGGAAAAGCGAACCGATCAACTGGAGGTGAGAAGTGGTGGTGAAAAGTAGTACTCACGACCTTGAGCGTCTCTCCAGGCCATCCAGATGCCAGCAGTCGGGTCGCTCACCAGGCAAGCAAGCGGAGAAAGAACAAGACTGACGAGTACCTTATTTAATCTCGAATAATCATGCAATGTCGTGACTCGTTGATGGGGTTCGTCAGGTGCGGTTATTGGAAAGCAGACCCGCCAAGCAGTCGACGCATCTGATTAGTGCCTTGTCGATCCACTTTCCGTACATGTACTTGATGAATACTAGCCGGGAGGGAAAAGGAAAAAAAAAAAAAAAGACCTCGTGGGAATGATGATAAGTATGTGTGAACAGGTGTAGTATCTTCGACCATTCAAATAGTCAGACAGATTCTGTGTGTGTGTGTGTGTGTCTGTGAGTAATTTCTTTCTCTCTTTTTTTCCCTTTTTTCCTCGAAAAATTCGGTCCCACTGCAATTATCTCTTTTCGTTCAAACACTTATTTTCAAGTTACCGTTTCAGTCGTATAGAATTGGGAAAATGTAATCCTATGGCCGTGAAGAATCTCTGGTAGAGCACACTGTCTGGATAGTTTCAGAGGACGCTAATCAGTAGGTACTAACCAGTCCTGCATGGCAGGGATCGACTGAGGACGGTGTCGGTCGGACAAGGCGAAAAGAGGAAAGAGACAATATATGATGAGGTAAAGAATTAAAAAAAAAAAAAAAAAAAAAGGAAAAAAAAAAAAAAAAAAAAAAAAAAAAGAAGACAGGAAAAGCTTGAACAGCCAGCCAATTTGCATTCAACAAGCTCTCTTTGTTTGAGTACAAATATGCCCAGTTGCCAGGATTCTCTCTTGCACACTCAATTCCACTGCTACTACATCCAACAACAAAATGAACAATAACTTAACCTTTTCGGATCCAACTAGTGTATCCCAGATTCTACTTGTCCCAAGTCCTTGGGTAAGCGCACGGCATGCAGCATCCGACCATGGAACTGTGCAGATTCCGGGGTATGTCAGACTTGACAAATTGTTGCATCACCAGTCAATTACCGGTCTGAGCGAAGCCGGGGTATCTAGGATTGTCTACACGCTTGGCTCCCCTCCGGCTTTATATAACTGCTTTAACTCCAGGTCTACGTCAATCTGATCCCGTTCAGAGCATGCAATGATGACCGAGATGGTCACAAGCAAATGAATAACACAATAGGCAGAAACTTCTGAAAAGGGATCCGGTCGCGTGGTCTAGGCACCAAGCGGCGCAGAACTTTGAAGCAACAAGACCAAAATAGCCTTCCCATACATATAACAAGAGAATACATGAATCGCAGCATATACGAGAGCCATCAACCAGTAGATAGACAGACATGCTCCGTCACCAGAAGACTTTCTAGTCTATGTTCCTAATCTGAACGCTAAATCTCCATGCAAATGCAAACAAACATTTAACCGTGGGTATGAAGATGAGTGTGTTATCGCTATAATCTGTGGAAAGGTCCAGTTTAGCAGTAAGAATAGTAGATGGCCGTGAAAAAGATATCAGTGGACATGGCCGAGCTGCAGGAACAGCGGCAAAATCATGCCGACAACAGAAGCAATCAAATCCCTCATGGATTTGTTGGACTTGGACGGAATGTCTCTTGAGTCGCCATATCCGTTCCCTTGTGTCTCACGTGAGACAGCACTTGGATTGTTCTCCTGCATCGTGTGCATGGCGACGTACCTGCGAAAAGACCATTAGCCATCGTAGATTCTTAGGTAGTATGTTGGGTTATGGAAGGCTCACAAGAATGTGCCAGCCGAAAACAACAAAAGGACCCCAGTTCTCCACTGAGTAGCAGTCAAGTCACTGCTGGACCCTGAGCCCATGACTTGTACAAATAAGAAAGTCGCCAATGCGCCCAAGGGCGCCGCCAGGCTAAAGACTAGTAAATGCGCCCTCGCAGCGCGGCTGGAGAGACCCTGCTTCAACAAGATTGACGTAAGACCAAAAGATGCTGGGGCCTTGTGGACCATGATGGCGAGGAATATAATAAAGCTTAGGCCGGTATCGGAACTTGAGGCTCCCAGAGCGATTCCGTCAGCAGCTGCATGGATAACAAGCCCGGTGGTTGTTGCGAAGCTGTGGCTGCTCCTGGGGCTATTTCCAGCATCCAGAAGCCCCCCTTCTCGAGAGGGGGATGAATTGCGACGTAATCCAGAGCCTAGGTTATCGAGAGAAATATGATATGGCGTCCGTTGCTGTTTGGCCGGCGCTGCGAATTCCGGGAGCTTGTCGATAAGATACATGAGGATAAAACCGCTAATGAGTGCGATTCCAATCCAGGCATGTGGTGAGCTCCCTTCGTCGTCGTGTGCTTTCTTCTTGTCTTCGTCTGATGCCTCCTCCTTTCCTTTCTGCTCACGGCGTGTGACATACGGCGTGGAGTCGGAAATGGGCAACAAAGTCGATGTATCCGAGGAAGAGGATACAGGGACATTAAGGGAGTTGATTTCCTCAGGAGTGTGAATCATAGCAGTAGCGACTGTCGGAATATTCTGGTGCTGCCAAGTTATGGCCCCCGTCGAACGACTGCTGAGTGCTTTTCGGTCATTGGGTAAGTTTGCGCTGTATAAAGTTTCTACCCCCTCCGGGATAATCACAATCAAGGATGTCCCGACCAAAACTCCCATGCCAAGGGACGATATTAGTCGCAACTGGGAGGAAGAAAGCGTAAATGCAAGTGGTAACGAGCCCACAACAAAGGATCTATGCCAGATCGGCCTGTTAGTCCGCAAAAACTCACATAGTGGGGTAATAAATGAAAATAGACTCACGTAATTGCCATCACAATGCTCAATGCGAGCAAAGTGAAAAGTCCCTCCATGGTCGGCCTCCTTTTTTTTTTTTTTTCCAGAACTGTGTCTCGGATTCTCTAGAGGACTTCAATCATGATGCCAATTGCGGAATAACTAAGACTGTTGTTGTTTCCCGCAGACACCCTTTCCGAATGCCCTTGCTCGGCCAATGTGTGGTATGGCGGTACGGGCAACACGATGCGGCGTAGAAATTGGAGAACAGGAAGAACCGGCGCAACGAACAATCCTTCGGAGATGGCTTTAAGGTCGGACTGAAGACGTGGCGTGTGGTTGGAGAGATTGCGATCCGCCGCAGTTGGAAAAGGGATCGGAACCGCCCCAGCGACGGGAAGACCCACAGCACCAGGGGACTGACTGGAATCAAATGAAATAAATAGTTTTGAATGTAAAACAACAAGTGGATAATATACCGAAGAACGAAAGGTAGCTTCTCCTGAGCTTGTTTCCATACAAGTTCCTACAGGGGCCATGGGCTTCTGTTGAGAATTTTCTTAACGCCGATACATTGATACTTCTTTCCTTTTTCTTTTGATGTTAAACTTAAGGTGAAGCTTCGCCTGCCGCATTCGTCGTTTCATGATGCTTGCGGAGGGAACTTGATGTACATGTTCTTATTCCAGAAGTCCTCAATATCCTCGACTATGAAGATATTTTTACTTCCACTGTCAATTTTAATGCATCTTAGAGAATTTAGAAGTAAAAGCAAGGGCCTGTATTAAGATACTTGACGTTGACACTGTATGCTATGTATGTAGGTCTACTAGTTCTAAAATTGTATGAACTAGTAGGCAATCCATTCAAACGCCTGATCGAAAGCTCGTTATCAATTGGCACTGCTGTACATTGGCTGTAGATTTCTAAGCGTATTCCCCCCCCCCAAAAAAAGTTAAGTATGTATATTTCAGGACGAAGCTAATTCCTGGAGAGCGTGCACGTCAACACGTGGACTTGCTCGTCTTCCGGGCTATCCAAACACAACCACTAGCACTAGGGCTACAGTAGATATCTTCAAAAGCTTCTCAGTATAAACCACGAAAGGGCAAAGTCGACACAGAACACTTACCACAAAGAATAACAACGCAACCCTGATACTCTCTGGGTTCCATATATAGCACTTTCTCCGCTGAAGCGACCTTTGCTGCCTAAAATACCGCATAGCACCCATCAGCTGGATATATATAGCAAATGCAAGCGATAAACAAGCCAGTACTTTCCCAGCCACGACAGAATCATGATGGAGGATGAACAGCTGAGCTGCGACGATCGCAAACGAAGCAAGCGCATTTGCCGTGCGAACATACGCTAGAAATGTTCTCTCAAGGGCTGTGCTTTTAGGTAAGTAAATGGAAATCAAGCTGCTGTATCTTTTTGGAATGACATACCAAGGAAGTCTCTCGGGTCTCCATCTTCAGCAGCTACTTCCGGGCGAATTTCGGTCAACCACCACTTGCGCAAGCGATTGCTATCCTGCATTGTATGTATTCCGTCGCTACGATCTGGCACCCTTGAATCTTCTTGTGGAGCGTCATTGACAACTTTTCTGCGCGGTGACGTATTATCTAACTCAACGCTATCCATTTAACAGCGAAAGAGTGATCTTTTTAATTCATAGGTTATCGGGATCAGACCCACAGGTAACAGCCATGTCGTCCTTGAGACCTGCAGGTGTAGAATTTGTGGAGGTTGAAGCTTAATTGAACAGAGAAACTTGAAAGGTTGCCTACGCGCAAGCCGTTCCCCACCTACTATCCGCCCAATAATAGGGAAAGATAACAATCGCATTGTCTGTGTATGGAGATCAATATTAAGATGCCCTTAGGTCAATCGTTTAGATAATTCTTTGGTAGGGTAAGCGTATGATAACAGAGTAAGGGCGAGTACAAATATGACTACTCAGCTATTCCTTGCATGCCCATATTTAGCACATGTCCATTTCAACCTTACAAGTTGCACTTGACATACAGAGTACAGCTGCATAAATTTGTATTTCATCTCATCTGCGTGGAACTAACGAGCCTGCGCTTTGCTTAACAACCTCTTCAGAGTGATTCTACTAGGATGTGCCGAATGACGTCATATTCGCATTGGGCTATGATACTTCTTGCACTACATCATAAAGTACTAGCAGAATCCCTTATAGGTATGCTTCAGGTACATCATGTCCGTACTTCTTAGTCTGTATCGCCACAAAGTCCTTCAGTCTTTCTTCTTTTTCGCGGACTTGTCCTGGTGTCAGGGTTCCGTAAGCTTCGTTGGCCTGCGTGACGACCTTCTCCTTCCAACTGGTCTTTTCATCTCCTAACACATTTACTTTGCCCAAATTATCCCACACGACCTGCATAGTGCCACCTAGTTTGTCCAGAAAAGCTTGGATCCCACCTTCACCACCTCCTTGCTGATAGCTTTCGAACACACCATTGCCCGCCCACCTTGGCCCAAGACTAGCCATCATGATTGTGTCGAGATCTTTTGCGCTCACCACGTCTTCCTGCACTAGATAGCATGCCTCTCGTAGTAGCGCGAATGCCAGACGATTCCCCACAAACCCTGGGATCTCTTTTTGGAGCACCACAGGTCGATGCTTCGAACCAGAAACGGAGAAATACTCGCGAGCAAATTCTATCCGCTCTGGCGACGTATCAGACGAGGGTACAATCTCTAGTAGTGGCATGATATGCGGCGGATTGAAAGGATGCACAACAAGCAATCGGGTTTTATCGTCCATCTTTTGTTGCTGGGCGGATGCGGCAATGCCAGACGTGCTGGTCCAGAGGTGCGCAGACGGTGGAGCAAATGATTCCACCTGAGCCCAGAGGGTCTGCTTAAACTCGAGGTTTTCGGGTCCTTGCTCTTGAACTATCGTGGCTGAGGCACAGGCGGTTTCTAGTGATGTGTGGATATGTAAACGACCGGAGGCCACCAATGAAGCCACATCTGATGTTGATGGTTGGGACTTAGAGTTGGCTGGTGGACCTTGATGAAGGAGATTTGGTAATGTCTTGAGAAGATACTGGTCGAAATCCGGTCTTGTGTCGAATACGTCCACTGTTACATTCTCACGAGACAGGTGCAACGCGGCCATGGACATACCGATGGTTCCCAATCCGATCAAGGTGATCCTCTGAGGGTCCGTGGCCGACATTGTCCCGGAGGTATATTAGAGCCCTTGATACTGTGCTGGTGCGCGAACTATGCCCCTCAATGGTAAAATGAACCTTGGTGTGGTTAGAACTGGGCGGACCCTCCAGATCTCATAACGATTACGGAGTATAGTCGAATCCCCTAGTCTCCCCGCTATTGACGGCGGCCCGTAGCCGCGTTGTATGGGGTACCACTACCCATGCAACCGAGGTCAACCACTGCACATAACTGACCATTAGGTCATACTAGCCCAGTCAATGATTTAATATGTCAATCTGTGTCTTTTTTTTACTTGCTTTCTCAATGAAGACAATTGTAAGAGTACTTAGCGTATCGTCAAATGAGCATACAAAGTCAAGACGACTTGTAATTAATTGGCTTCATCCTAGCCAATCTATTTCAGACGACTATAAACTCAAGAATATCATTATATTAGCATGGTTGTGCTAGCACTGATTTTTGAACCAAACAGTTGACATCTAAGAATGGATGTGTTGAAGTCATTAGTAGTGAGTCCTCCAAAGGAGCTAAACCCGAAGCGGTTATACCTGAGTTTCGCGCAACGCGATTCAACACGCGCCGTCATAAGAAAGAGACTGACTTCATTCAGCTACTACCCTCAAACTAAGGATTTATTACTTCCTCCTGTCCTAGGCAAAATGGCGAGCGAAGGCGACTGTAATTATCCCTCTCCTGCCTCACCATATCCGATAATTTAGGCTCCAGTTTAGCTGACAAGAATTGTATCGTCCAGGGACCTGCGACGCTAATGACGCCGTTCAGATCACTCTTGTCCAGCCCGGTGAACAAAAACCGAAGACGCTCTCTAGCTTCCATCCCCAGTTCACTTATCCGATTTTTGGTGATGATGAAGCTATTTTCGGTTACAAGGGATTGATCATCCGCTTGCGATTCGCTGCTCATGACCTCCGTCCGCATATCCATATTTCCTACGATGAAAAGTTTAAGACAGTGGGCGACACCTCAGCAGTTGACCTTATCAAAATATTAAACCCTTTCATTCCGGAAGGTCAGTATACGGCTTGGAATCGGGTTAAACCGCCGTATTATAGCTGACCAATGCGTAAACCTTCAGAGGCTTTCTCCACCCTTCCTGATTATGAAAACGCCGTCCAAGAAGACAAAGATGCGAAGGACTTTGTACCACCAGGAAAGCTCGTCCATAACTATGTCACTCGAGGACGAACATACGAGATCTGGGCAGGGTCACTCGCTGATCCTCAGGTGCGACGGCTCTTGGACCGGGCTCAAGTCTTCGTGTCCCTATTCATCGAGGCTGGAACACCCCTAGAAACGGAGGATCCTGAATGGACACTTGAGCGCTGGACAGTCTATTTCGTGTATGAGAAACTTTTCTTGTCTGAGGAGACATATCTGAGTATCGCTGACAATAACCGATGATCGCAGGTACGAGAAAGCGAAGCCTCCAAGTCCTACTGCTTCTCAATATTCTATCGTCGGATATGCGACAACCTATCGCTGGTGGTTCTACCAGAGGGATTCCCCAGAGAAAGCTACGGTCACGAATGACCCATTCCCAGGTCCTGAAATTCGGCCGGCACAGCTACCAGCCCGACTGCGAATTGCCCAGTTTCTGATCCTCCCTCCTCACCAAGGCTCGGGACATGGTACCCATCTGTATACAACCATTCATACCGCTTGCTTCAATGATCCGACAATTGTCGAGTTGACAGTCGAAGATCCTAACGAAGCGTTTGACGCGCTCCGCGATACCGCAGATTTCCACATCCTGCGCCCAGAATTTCTTAAACACAACGTGAATATCAATCCCGACCCCTACGCAGAACTTCCTAAGAAACAGCGACCCCGTCGCGTCCCAACATCTGCCCTCATCCCGACAAAGCTTCTCCACGATATCCGTTCCACTTATAAGATCGCCTCAACACAGTTCGCTCACGTCTTGGAAATGTTTCTCCTGGGCGAGATTCCGACCAAGTATCGTCATGCTGGTGGCGCAAATATGTCACGTCTATTGATAAAGAAATATAATGCTGCGGACCCGAACGAGCGGCGCTACTACTGGTGGCGCATGCTAGTCAAGCAGCGTCTCTTCAAGCGCTCTCGTGATCTTCTCATCCAGCTAGAGATGAGCGACCGTATCGAGAAGCTTGAGGAGACAGTGACCAACGTGGAGGAAGGGTACGAATCATTAATAAAGGTCTTCACTGCCAGAGAGGAGGCTCTAAAGGCTAAGCAAGAGGAATCTGGTGAATCGCCTGAAACTGCAGTCCTAGAAGACTCAGCCGCAAGTTCCAGTGATACCCCCGCCAGGGATCAGCGCGGTAAGAGAAAGTTCACACTAGAGGATGAGGATGAGGAGGACGAGGGTGAACTGGAAGCTCCTAAGCGTCCGAAGGTGTAAATTACGAACTTTCCCCCCTATTTGGGTTCCCAAAGTTGACGCATGTGACTTAATTGTCCAAAGGAAACTTCAATAAATGTACTATCAGCGCTCACGAGTTGTCAAATCCATGCTATCATCTGTATATTGTTTCCACTAATGAATCGCATCATTCATGGTAGCTGGGTGAGCCAGTGACTATTGTCTGCAGCCTGTCTACAGTCAATAGATTAAGTACTATCCAGGCTCACCAGACTTCCCGTTCTTAACAATATAACTGTCGAGAGACCTGCCGTGGATGATGCTATCGTATTCGGCGATTTGCTTCTTACGTCGTTGATGTCCGGCAACCTTGGGATTCATTTCTTTTCTGGAAGGGTGCGCTTCTTCTGGGTTACGGTTTGGTTGTCTAACTAGCTCGCCGACGTATTCAAGTGCTCGCCTGAAATCTTGTAGCTCAACCTGCATGAGGCCGGACTCAGGATATGGACTTGAGGCAGTTTCAGATGGCAGGGTCGGCTCCGGTTGTCGGATGACGGGTAGGTGATAGTCAAGTAAAGGGGCCAGGTCTGGTCCCTGAATTCTTCCTTCCTACTATTGTTGCTATCTGAATCTCCGCGCTGCGGACCTATAAGCCAGTCGGAGACGTCTTTCTTCACGCCGTGTGGCTTGATTCACTCGGCGTCGACAGCAATATATAGTATTGCGACAGATTCTGAATATTAATGTAACTATAAGACCCACAATGATAACTACCAAACAGATTTTAGTAAAACCCTTAGCAGTGAATTGAAGTGAGATATTTAGCTCTCGAATAGGCACAGCCTGCTCAGAGTACAATGATCTGACTGCAGATGATTGTGTAAAGCTTCGTAGGATGTATCACTCGGTACAATATATTGTTCTGCCTCCTGCAGTAGGGTAGACTATTCAGTATATCGACTACGCCCGGAGTGCCGGGAACATACTCCACCAGCAAGTGACGCAGGGAACCGGCCAAAGCTGTATCTTATCTCGCGGATTGCAGCGGGGACAGACATGTAGGACGCCTTGACCTTACACCCAAGACTTCTGCAATCTCTCCAGTTTGCCTGAAAATCGGCGCAACCATGGAGCAATACCTTGCGAATGTCTTGGCCTTCCTGGTTTATTTCTTAAGCAAGTGCAACATCATACGAAGAGACCAATGACTTGAACTGGCTTCGATACAATAGCGTATACGAAGCCATGCTCGCCTAGAGGGCTGATGGGCTAACAAAGTCTGAATTAGAAGATGCAATCAAAAGAAACTGTAACGCTAGATTCGCTGCCTACCGCATGTAGTGGTTGAACTACATGTATGCGACTCAGCTTGTCTAGTACTACATTAACAGTATGGTTGTTCTGAAACTCTTATAAAGATGAACTCCTCAACCAGGGTGAAACAGGTAGATGAGTAAACTGACCCAAAAGGAAAGCATATGGAAATGGTTGCACTCTGGGCTGATTACTGTCCAGGGTTATTTATTCTCCAGTAAGGGAATAGTTATTATGTTGTCGTTGGCGGATCTCGGTCTTGCTTTTCTCCGGATTTCCAGGTTGCGATCACCGCCGCCGCTGGAAGCTCGTGCGGAGCTTCTTGGTTATCACATTCACCACAACGAGGGCCCGCTCTTCCCTACAAAATCGCCGTGCTTCATACTTTGTCGCTATTATTCGGTGTCGCTTTATTAGCGGATACTTAATTTGGCTAAGAACGACTGTATCTTAGCCTTCGCCCGCTTCATTTTCGGATATCAGCCTACCTTTGATATTGCCCACACTGATCAATCCCCGAAAATGGTATTTACCCGCCAAACTAAAGCTGACCATCTTGGTCTTCGGATTTGCGATTACTGACGGCATACTACCCATAGTTACCCCTAGGACTGCTCACGGCCGCCCAGGGCCATCCAATGCTCGTGGAACTTAAAAACGGCGAAACGCTGAATGGACATCTTGCCAATTGCGATAACTGGATGAACTTAATACTCAAAGAGGTTGTTCAGACCAGCCCAGAGGGTGATCGGTTCTTCAGACTGCCGGAAGTCTATATCAGAGGAAACAATGTAGGTTGTTTAAGGCGCGAGTGGTCTTGGCGAGTACTAATATGGGTTAGATCAAATATCTACGGATCCCTGAAGAGATTATAGAGATGGTCAAGGAACAACAGCAAAATCAGCCTCCGAACCGCAATCGTGGTGGACACTCTCACCGGGGCGACAGAGGTGATCGGGGAGGCCGTGGTGGACGTGGACGTGGCCGCGGCCGCGGCCGAGGTGGCAGTTAAAGATATGCCCAGAACGTGATAACAAGCGGCGTGAGAGAAAGATAGATACCCCGAGGAGATGATGTAGGTAATTCATGAGGTCCGTTGGGCGGGTTAGTCGAGCATGATCCTGGCGTATCTGGCTCTTGTTTTTTTTTTTTTTTTT